CTGCCTATGGCCCTGGCGTCCCGTTGTATCTCTCATTTTTCTACCCGCGCGAAAAGCTCGGTCTGCGAACCGGAATCTTCTTGAGTGGCTCTGCCGCCGCCAACGCCTACGGAAGTGCACTCGCGTACGGCATATCTCAAGCCAAGGCATCCATCGGGCCCTGGCGCATCCTGTTCATTGTTGAGGGTGCTCCTACATGTCTGCTGGCCATCGTGGCGTGGTTCTGGCTTCCAGACTCGCCCGCCCATTGCAAGTTCCTGTCGGAGAGAGACAAGGCGATTGCAATAGATTTATCCTTGAGACAGCCTGGAGACAGGACAGGGAAGAAAGGTCTGCAGTGGAAACAGGTATTGGGCGGGTTGATGGATTATCGATGTGAGTTTTCTCCTTCTGTGAGGTTTCTGTTGCCCACTAAGAGTATTTGATGTCCCTACACATGTCCATCCCTCCACTCTCCGGGAAGCTACACAAGAGACATGCACCCTCCCACCCACCCCCTCCCTCCCTTTTGTTCTCATTGTTGCTCGATTAAAATAAAACACGGTCCTCCATTTTGCAGAGCATGATTTCAGGAAGAAAAAGGGCCAAGACTGACATACTTACTCACAGCCTACCTTCCTCCTCTGATGTACTTCGGCTGCAATGTCTGTTTCGCCTCTCTACCGCTCTTCGTCCCAACCATCATCAGCGAAATGGGTGCCTTCTCCACCATCCAATCCAACGGCCTCTCGGCTCCACCATATGTATTCTGCTTCCTCGCAATTTGCGGCACAGCCTTTATCTCTGACCGCCTGAACATGCGTGGCATTTTCGTCGCCATCCCTGCATTGATTGCTGCGATCGGGTACATCATTCTGGGCACTACCTCAGGGGTGGCACCGAGGTATTTCGGCCTTTTCCTGGCCGTCCTCATCTTTGTCTCGGTGGCAATGACGTTGACATGGGTTGGCAACACCCATGCCACGGACAGTAAGCGCGCTGTAGCGTTAGCTATCCTGGCGACGGGTGGTCAGTGTGGTCCCGTATTGGGCACAAACATCTTCCCCAAGAGCGACGCTCCTTATTACCGCAAGGGCATGTGGATCTCGTGTGGTGCGTGCCTGATCGTGGTGGTCACCAGCGTGATGCAGATGGGACTGCTGATCCAAGCCAACCGGAAGCGGGACAAGAAGTACGGCCGCGATAGGGAGACCGTGCACCTCGAGGAGCCCGGTGAGTTTGGCGATGACAAGCAGTTTAGATACGTGGTTTAAAAGGCAGGGGTGTGAGGAGATGGTCATTTGCAAGAATGAACTTGACTACGGAGCATTCAAGAGTTCTCAGGAGGGAACAGGTGAAGATGGGGAGGGTAAGGGCAAGTCGTCGTCACCGGTACACTGGAGACGTGACTGTTGTGTGCCACTTTGAGGGATTCAATGAGTCTGAAACCCCCAAACCACTATAATTTAAACAGTGATTGATCTGAACAGTCACGACAACAAGGTCCGCAAGAACTATGACATTCACTGCAAATGTTGCGATCCTAATAATTGAAATAAGCCTACATGCCTCATTGTCGCTTGTACAAGTAGCCTACAGTACTCGCCGGCCGCGCCTGCCCATACTGATGTACGAGGTACGTACTTCGTACTCAGTATTGTGTATCTGAAATTGTTGCTCGTCCAGTTCGACCTATGGTTCAGGCGGCAAGTTGGGCTAGCCGCTTCGGGCATGGTCCTAGTCTGCACGCCGCTATTACTTTTAACGGATGATAAGAAGTCTGATACGAACTATTCTTCATCTGTTCCGTCACGCTTCAACAAACGTCGCGCTGTCCCTCGGATTTCCGTAGGCCGGGTCACTCACGGTTGGCCGTGTGTTCTAGCGGTATCGGTATCTGTTCGGAAACAAAATGACACGAGGTTCTCAGTCCTTTGATTATCAATTTCCCCCTGTTGAAATAGGTTCCAACGGCACGCGGTTTCATCCTCCAAATGAGCTTGAGACCCCCGACTCCCTCTTCACACCTGGGCATCCGTTCGCTGCTACCATACCGTGGCTCCGCTGGCTTCGCCGCGCAAATAACCGCGAGTGCTTTATTTTTGCTGACGGCGCTTGCCTTGGGAATGGCACTGACCAAGCAAGGGCTGGCTGTGCGTTCGTCTTCCACCCTAGTACCACGAACTCTCCCGCCGGGCATACGTCGTTCAGACTAGAGCTCAATGGCCCACAACGGACGCGGGAGCCGCAAACAAGCAATCGTGCCGAGCTACGAGCCAAGGGGGACGGTCAAGGGCGGGGTATTGTGTGAGAACAAAGTCCTCCCCGTAGTGGTCCATGAAAGAAAAGGCTCGAACAGATAGATAGACAGACAGACGACGGATCGCCATTCTCAAAACTCGTGTGGTGCGCGCATTGGCGCTGGCGTGATACCGCAACATTACCTCGTTTAGCACTCAGGGTGGCGCAGATGAAATACATAGTATCCACGAGTCCTTGTAAAGAGGAACTTCGATTTTATCGGGTTCCAGGTTCCACCCTTGGACCCTCGACCTTGAACCTTGCACCTCAGCCGCACGGTGGCATAGGTGCACCTCGCCTCGCTGAATAGATCCTGATAGATATCACCATTTTTGAGACCGTCGCCACCGTGGACTTTTACAGTTTTCTTCCTCCGTATTGGCCCGAGTCTGCGTTGAGCTGGACAAGTCGTCAACGTTGAGGATTTAGAGGGATTATCCGTCAGCGTCGTTGTGGCTTTCTTGGTGATCGAAAGAGGGGGGGGTCAGAGGAACCAGTCTGGAAGCTGGCGGCGGGTGTCAGTGGAAGTTTTGTTGTTGAATCTCCTCTAACTGGGGAACGAGGGTATCTCAAAAATCTCAAAACGACGGAAATGGCTCTAGATGCTGTCGTTAGTAGCTTCGACCAAAGGAAACGAGGCCCCTTGCTCAATGACGGTGATGTTCCATCGGCGTAGAAACTCGGGCAACCTCCTCTTCTGTTGTAGAAACCAATTTCAAATTTGAGGAGAAAAGTAAAAGCGAAAAAGACATAATGAGTCTCTCAACCCCGACATGATCGTCTTTGAAACTGTACAAGTTTTACTACATCGTAGGTAGTCTCTGAAGATGTTGCGCGCGAAGCTAATGAAGGGATACAGGTGCGAGTCCCCTCATTCTGGCTTCCTCTGGTCCGAAACACACCCTGCGACTCTCCTATTCCATTTTCCCAACCACCAATGCACAAGCTTTATGACCAGCTCTTCCCCTTTTCTTTCCATCTTTCACAATATCGCCTATGGGTTGTGGTATGGGCTGTCACTGTTTTCGGGATAGAGGTCTTCTTTCAGGTTAATGCCGAGCTCTTCGCGCAGAGGTTTCAGCTCCTCTAGGTATTCCTGATATTGTTGAATGTTCTCGACCTTTGCCTTGATGCCTGTTATTGCGAATATTAGACCCGACTGCCTTCTCGAAAGAAATTCTCCGCAACGGACCTTCAAATATTCTCACAGCAGTAGGGAAATCGTTGACACGTCTGGCAGCTTTCAAAGCAGCTGTCACAACCCCGGGAGAAGGGACGAGATCGTAGGCAAAGGCATTGTTGAGGTTTCGCTGTTTATCTAGATTAGACCAAACAATATATAATTCAGAGCTTGCCATTCTTACCTGAAGCTCAAAGACATCCTGCACAGCATCGAATTCCTTCTCATATCTGTAACAGAACTCGTCAGCCAAGCTCTTACAGCCAATGTGTTTTGCAGCAGCACCAAATAGTGCTTCGACGACCAGTGTACCCCAGACCAAGCTCCATCGGGATCGTACCTCGCAGAGAATTCTTCGAACGTTTCGTCTTCGTGGCCGGCGCTTCTTTGGATGGCCGAAGAGCTGAACGGGGACCTTGCGGAAAACGATTGAGTGACAGCTGGAGCTCTCTTGAATGACCGGGTGCAGGGTCTGAGGAAGGCGGAAGTGGCGGGACGAGCTGTGAGACGAAACATGGCGAGAGAAGCCATTGTGCAGTGCGCAAAGTAGAGCACAGGGCGGTTGCGTAGAGTGGTAGAGTGAGAGAAGGTGGACCAGATGTTGTGTTCAAGGTCTGGGCGGATGTCGATTGAGGTTCTTCAGTCACCTGAGATTTGCTTGCCCAGGCAGGATAATCGGAGAGCTCCTGAGTGGTTGAAATGACGAACGTCAGCCAAGTCGGACACGTAATTCTGCGTGGTATTTGGGCTGTAATGTGACTGACAAGGGCTGTATTGTAAATCACAGGTATCTGATTGGTTGTGATGCCTCTACCAGTCCCAAAAGGACCATCTATATTCGCCAGTTGCCTCAATTGATACGTATGGTAGCTTGCAATGATATTAAGTATATTGCATCCACCCTCTCCCGTGCTCATACCCTTTACTTCTTCTCTCTCCCGAGTTTGGCGCATAGACGGGTAAAGGGACACGGTATCAATTTTTCCTCCAATCAGGTCTTTTCCGCGGCTCCCGTTTCTAACACGGCAGACGCGCGACAATCGCACAAGTTTCTCCCTCGGCGGAGATTGAAACCAGGTACACAACCAATGGGAAGGTGCGGCTGCAGCGGGCCTTGGCTATTACGACAGAGGCTGCGCGCATCTCAACAAACGAGTTTCCCCTGATTTTTTGATTATCCCATAGTTGGCTTCCTTCTGGCACCCATTGGCACCATTGGCACCATTGGGCACTCTCTGTTGGGACATTTCCATTTTCACTCATCCCTCTTCTTCGTCCTGCAATTTTCCCATTGCAACCGCCGCCACTGTCCGCGCTGCCGGCTTGAAAAAATATATCTCACTCCCTTCCACCTCCTTCCGATTAACCACTACTTCATCTCTCTTCGCGTTCGCCTCTGCTTTTTGTCCTTTTCTTCTCCTTCACACCCTCTTTAGTTGATTGTTTTCAGTCACTCCTTCCCTCTCGATTCGGCGCTCGCGTTTACGCCCTCTCGGTCCGTCCCTCACCTGCGACTGCGAAATTGACGAATTCTTTCAACATGTCGGACGATATTCTCAAGTCTATTCCCCTTCCTACGCTCGATCGCCCCTTCGGCATCGAGCTATGGCCTATCTTCGACAAGGCCTATTCCGCAGTCCTTGGCTATTCGCCGATGGACTTCAAGTTTGAATCCGGCAAGACACCCATGTCAACATTGCCAGAGACTGTGGTCGCCTTGATCTCGTACTATGTTATTATTTTTGGCGGAAGAGAATTGATGAAGCACCGCCAGCCATTCACGCTCAACGGCGCTTTCATGGTCCATAACCTCTATCTCACCATCATCAGCGGTTGTCTGTTGGTGCTGTTCGTTGAACAGCTGCTCCCTACTCTTGTGCGGGGTGGTGTCTTCCACGCCATTTGCAGCTACGATGGAGGTTGGACGCAAGAATTGGTTGTACTCTACTATGTGAGTCTGCCTGTCTGGCTATTAAGCTCGCGACACTTTCTAATTTACACAGTTGAACTACCTCACCAAATATCTCGAACTCATTGACACGTTGTTTTTGGTCCTCAAGAAGAAGCCTCTGACCTTCCTCCACACCTATCACCACGGTGCAACTGCGCTTCTCTGCTACACTCAGCTTATTGGGCATACTGCGGTGTCATGGGTCCCTATTACGCTGAACTTGATGGTGCACGTGGTCATGTACTGGTAAGGGAAATTTGCGCGCAAAATTGTGTACGCGGCTGACAATTTTCTAGGTACTATTTCCAATCAGCTCGCGGTATCAGAATCTGGTGGAAAAAGTACATCACCATCATGCAAATCATCCAATTCGTCATTGATCTTGGTTTTGTTTACTTCGCGTCGTACACCTACTTCGCCAACTCCTACTTCTCCTGGCTGCCGAATGCAGGCACCTGCGCAGGCGAGGAATTTGCAGCTATCGCCGGCCTTGTCATTCTGAGCTCTTACTTGTTGCTCTTCATCTCATTCTACTTCGCAACCTACCGAAAGCAAGCCATTCAAGGACGACCGAGAAGGAACACTGGCAGAGAAGCTTTGATCGCTATGAGGGATCTTCCCCTTCCTGACCCACACAAGGTTCCATCGGCGCTTGGAGATGAGAAGAAGAGCAATGGTGCCATCACCACCGGCCGATCGAATGGTCCAACCACCCGATCGCGAAAGGCTTAGACAGTCGAAGCGTACAATTCTTTCCGAAGGATAGACCTTCATTGTCTAATGCAGGAGCAGTGTCCGAGAGAAGACAACGAAGAAATTCAATCGAGTTGCAGGAAATCAGCCAACAGCTGGTTTTTTTCTTACTGGACAACTGAACCTGGCGGCAAAGGGGGTGCCGCCTATTACATATTGACGTCAAGCATGACTCGAGTCTAGTCGGGGGATATGCCAGGGACGACTCGGAGCCGAGCAGATCGAGGGGATTTGCTGGAAACCTGGCAGAGGAGAGTGTACAAAAGTTTGCTGTTTGCTGCCTCGTTGATGACGGAAAGAAGGGGTCTCGGGATTTTCCTGTTCAAGACTTGGTGGATGCCAGAAGGGTAGGACCACCGTTTCTCTTTTTTCTTTTTGCACTGTGTAATTAGATGGTACTCGCTATTAATGCACGAATTCTAATGCGGACGACAAAAGGGCTCGTTAGTAGAGTTGATATAGTTTGCAAGAAAGGAATAAAAATTTGAAAACTTGAGATTGACATGCTGCTGCCCCCACTCTAGCTGTCTCGGAACAGTCTTGCTTTGAAACGCGAGCATGTAGAAGTCTCAATTTATGTGTCTATCCATGTATCTGAGGATGTCTATTGTTTCACAAGCGGCGGAAGATAAGGCTTCAATTGAGCCATGCATAGCAGAGAGGTGCATTTATTTCAGTCAATTACCCCTTTTCCCATGAGCACGCCAACGCCAATGTACAACAAGGAATGAAGCGTGAAATTCAGACACGATCCTCAATCCTGGCATTGTGTCAGAGGCCTCCTATCTATCCAACCCATCTCCTCGCACTCTGGAATAATCTCAACCACGGCCCGTATTCGCCCCAGTCGCCCCATGCGTCCTTCTCTCCTTTGAGGGCGTGGTCGGGGATGTAGCTGCCCACGCCGGCCAAGATGGTACGTTCGGGATGAGGCATCAGCGCCAGGACACGTCCATCCTGGCTCCGCACGCCAGCAATGCCCGCGGGACTCCCGTTCGGGTTGGCCGGGTACGCCGTCGTGGGCTGCAGGGATTTGTTGTCGACGTACCGGATGGGTGCGAGGTTGGCGTACGCGAAGTCGTGAGCGAGAGAGGCGTCCCAGGTCTTGTCGCCCGTGTGCGGCGATGGGAGATCGGTGGTGAACGACGCGCGCCCTTCACCGTGTGCGACGGCGATGGGGAATGAAGACCCGCTCATGCCGTGGAAGAAGACGCTGGGAGCCATGCCGGATTCCGCCGGGGGGTCCGACACTTTGACCATGCAGACTCGGGCCTCGTACTGTTCGGATTCGTTCCGCTCAAAGGAAGGCCATTTGTCTGCGCCGGGAATCAACTCTTTGAGTTTGGAGAGGACCTGACATCCGTTGCAGACGCCCAGCGCGAATGTGTCCTTCCTTTCGAAGAAGGTCTGGAATTTCTGGCGTGTTGTGGGGTGGAAGAGGATGGATTTCGCCCAACCCTGGCCTGCACCGAGGCAGTCGCCAAAGCTGAAACCGCCGCAGAGAGCAAGACCCACGAAGGAAGAGAGATCATGGTCGATACCAAGGTGTGACTGGTGTGGTTTGGGGTCCAGAATGTCGGACATGTGGACGTCTATCGCAGTAAATCCGGCGGCTTCGAAAGCGAATGCCATTTCCGCGTGGCCGTTGGTGCCCTGATCTCGCAAAATGGCAACTCGTGGTCGAGCGGTGGGACGCACGTAATTGAGTAACGACGCTTTGTATGTGTTGATGTTCTCCTTGGGGTCGAAGCTAAGATTATAGCTCAATCCTGGTTCAGCATCATCGAGGATCGCCTTGTATTCCGAGTCCGCACATGAAGGATTATCCCGAAGTCGTTGAAGCCAATATGACGTGTTTGACCATTTTTGTTGCAGCTCTCCACGAGTTGCACGGTAGATCAGTTTCCCACCGTGATAGATCGCCATGTTCTGAGAGGAAGACTTTGTGGAAACACGACCGATCTTGTGGATAAGCCCGGGAGGAGGACCACACGTTGCGAAACAGGCCTTGAAGTGATTCTCGTCAGATTTACGGACCTGGAACACCGCCCCCAATTCTTCGTTGAATAATGTAGATATCACATCCGGTGTGTTCGGTGTGGGACATATGTCGTTGATCATGATTTCTATACCGCAGCGACCAGCAAATGACATTTCTGCCAATGTCACGAAGAGGCCGCCGTCAGAACGGTCGTGATATGCCAGCACAAGCCCTTGTTCATGAAGTTGTTGTGTTGCGTCGAAAAAGTCTTTGAGCAAGGAGACGGAGCGAATGTCGGGCGCTTCATCGCCAATTTGTTTGAAAGATTGTGTGAGAGCGGACCCTCCCAAGGCGCGATGTGCGAGACCTAGATCCACGAAAAACAGAGTCGTTTCGCCCACTTCGTTGTATCTTTTTAGCTGCGGCGTCCACGTCTTCCTGATGTCCAGAACGGGGGCGAAGGCAGATATAACAACCGATAAGGGACTTGTGACTTCCTTTGCCTCCTTGGTTTGAGAATCTGTCCATTTCATCTTCATGGACATGGAATCTTTCCCAACCGGAATTGAGACGCCGAGTTTGGGGCACAAATCCATGCCCAATGCCTCCACAGCTTCATAAATCCCTGCACCTTCGCCCGGATGAGTGGACGCGGACATCCAGTTGGCGGACAGCTTGACCTGATGAAGGCGATCGGGAAGATCTGCAGCAGTCAAGTTCATCAGTGATTCAGCCACTGCCATACGTGCAGATGCTGCTGGTGAGACTAGTGCAATGGTTGGTTTCTCGCCCATTGCCATTGCCTCTCCACTCTTGATACCGGTGGTAAGTGATGTTGCTGTAACAGACACGTCTGCCACAGGAACCTGCCAGGGGCCGACCATTTGATCTCTGGCTATGAGCCCACCAACTGTTCTGTCGCCTATTGTGATCAAGAAGGATTTGGATCCGACGGCTGGCATTTGGAGCACTCGATCAATTGCCTCCTGGAGCAAACCGTTCATTGACGCCTGCGGGACATACAGGCTCAAGCTGGTATCAAAGCCTGGTAATTCGGCTTTGCGTGAACTGGCATCACGGGTCATCTTGGGCGGTTTCCCGAAAAGAACCTCCATTGGGAGGTCGATAGGATCTTGTTGGCCATGGCCATCTGCGGGGTGATCGCGGTCTGTGAGCTTCAACACTTGCCGCCTCGTGGCTCTTCCCACAACAGAGATCCCACACCGTTCTCGTTTCGCAATGGCCCTGAATTTGTTCATACCCTCCTGTGCTACCGCAAGAACATATCGTTCTTGGGCTTCATTGCACCATATCTGGAGAGGGCTCATACTCTTGTCTGCACAGTCGATGTCTCGAAGCTCAAATTCTGCACCGAGACCAGAATCTTTGGCGAGTTCTGGTAACGCATTTGACAGACCTCCGGCACCGACATCGTGAATGAAGAGTATAGGGTTGTGTGAACCGAGCGCGGTACATGCATTAATGACTTCTTGCGCCCGTCGCTGCATTTCGGGGTTGCCTCGCTGAACACTAGCAAAATCCAGCTCGGCAGACCCTTCTCCGGAGCTGACACTCGATGCAGCCCCTCCTCCCAGGCCGATGAGCATGGCTGGCCCGCCCATGACAATCAGGAATGCTCCGTCTTTGACAATGTCGGGGTCCTTGAGAGCATGCTGAGGTCGAACAGTCCCGACGCCTCCTGCAATCATGATGGGCTTATGATAGCCTCTGATTTCTGTGGAGTCTTTGCCCGTTCTCATTTCCACCAGCAACGTCCTAAAATACCCAGCAGTGCATGGTCGACCGAATTCATTGTTGAAGGCAGCACTTCCAATGGGTGCTTCGAGCATTATGTCGAGACTGCTAGCGATGTGACTGGGTCTGCCATAGTCGAGTTCCCACGGTTGGCGGTGATCCGGTATCAGCAGATCAGACACACAGAATCCCGCGAGACCCGCTTTGGGTTTTGCTCCTCTTCCTGTTGCTCCTTCATCCCGGATCTCGCCCCCTGAACCAGTTGCCGCTCCCGGAAAGGGAGAGACAGCGGTAGGATGGTTATGAGTCTCGACCTTAATGAGGAACTCCACCGGTTCTTTCGTCGCTTTCCATTGGCCGTTGAGGTCGTCAGGCGCCCATTGACTCCCATTGCTGCCTTTGAGCACAGCTGCATTGTCGCTGTATGCACTGATGGTGCCTTCCGGAGTGTGTTTGTGCGTATTTCTGATCATGCCAAACAGCGTGTTAGTCTTGGGTTTTCCATCAATGGTCCAGCTTGCATTGAAAATCTTGTGTCTGCAGTGCTCCGAGTTCACCTGAGCAAACATGAAGAGCTCAACGTCTGTAGGCTTTCTCGGGACGGGCCCGTCTTTCGAGTAGGCTTCAACGAGATACTGGATTTCTGAAGCGTCAAGAGCAAGGCCTAGCTTGCGATTTAAATCTTGAAGCATTTCGGAGGGATTCCGTCCACCGCTGTATAAGTCGTATGTACCCAACAGGCCAGGTTGATGGTGCATGAACAAGAGATTGAGATCTGGCTCGTTTTCCGAAATGGTCTCTGTCATCCGGTCATGCAGGAAGTCAAGGCTTGATCGGCCCAGAGACTGTCCATTTTCAAGGTATACCGTAATCCTGACACCTCGTTCGATTCGACGAACTACTTTTTGAAGTCCGCAAACATGAGCGATATTGGTGGCCTTTGAACTCCATGGAGAGATAGTGCCTGGTCGAGGTAGGGCATAGAGAACAGTTGACGGTTCGTCTTCCTTTTCTTGGGCTTCTACGTAGTTGCCATGAGTCAACAATTTTTCCAGTAGAGCATGGCTCTCAGAATCAAGTGACTCCGCAAGTTCCACATAGTGCATGTACTGTCCTTGAACGTCACGGGCTCCCACGTTGGCGGCTAGAGCCTGACGTCGAAATTCGGAAAAGGCTGACGCTCCAGGGATGATACAGACTTGTGAATGATCCATGGTTGACAAGTGACACTCAGAGGCTAGACGATCCTAATACGTAGCATGATCACTGTCACAAGGAGGGTCGCAATATCACCGTTAAGGCCCGATAAATGTAAGAGGATACGATGATCCCGGCAATAGAAGCAAGATGTCGAGTCTTGTATACAAGTTGGTAGAGGGAAGGATCAGACGGTCATCCGAGGCCAGCCGAAAGGAAATGGTAGATCGATCAATCACGAAACAATCGTCATGGTTCCATGTTCAAGGCCTGATCATACAGCTCTCGTCCAACTCGTGATTATCCATTGTGGCTGATGTGTGGTTGTGAGGAAGTCTGAAAACTCTGCGGTCACGGCGGCTTGGCGTCAACGACGTTGGGTCCCGGCTCAGCGGAGGGAGTGCGTACTCGGTAGGTGGTTATGGTTAAGACGCAGCGCGGCTCGGGCGGCACTGGGGGTTTCTCCTGGAGTGTGGCACCCCTAGCTGGTGCCTATCGGACTGCCTCGAGGCTTGTAGCTTCCCCAGAAATCAGCCTCCCCCTTTATGCTCCTCTCTCCTGCGGTCCTTCTCGGTGGTAATACCTCGCTTGTCAGTCTTGGTCCAATATTGGCTTGCGAACAACGTCGCCAGATCAAATCTGGTATTATCCGTCATCCACCCTTCTCACTCACACCCAACTACTCCAATTTGTAGGCCGCCAACTTGAACTTTTCCCTTCGCTATCTTTTCCCAAAGCTACTGCATCATTTGACAAAGTCCATTTAGGTCATCCCCGCCGTTGGCTGCCCTCACATGGGACAGTTTTTCCTGATCCGCTTTTCTCGTGATCGGTTCTCCGGTTCAATGCCACTGTCATCATCGCCATTAGTTGACCAGTGACCGAGTCTGTCGGCTTGCCGTCTGATCGTTGAGCCCGACACCTCGATTCATACCCGTCTCTCGACTGCGCACCTGACCCACATACCGAAAAACCTCGAGGTCTTTCTCAGTTGGACACGAGGTATCTCAAGCTCCACCAATATCCCCTTTGAAAGGTCGGGGCCAGTCGTTCAGACTGCCCTTTTCCCGCCGACATCATTCCTTCTCCTCGCCCATCTACCGAATCTTTCCTCCACCACCGATCGCATTCGTCTCGCTCCAAAGCAGACCTGGAAGACCCCTCGTCCACATTGCGAACTTCCACAGGGAACGAAAAAGACGAAAGCATTCGGCGACCATCGTACTCGGGGTCTGACTCGGACGATTTCTCCCTTTGGAGTGACACTGGAGATCTCGCAGAGCAGCTTACCAACAGCGAGGACCCCTATCAGATCGAACTAGATCCTCTGACCCGGCAAGGCCAGAGGCTCAGAGACTCGGGTCGTGGTCACGGTGGAGGACGGAAGAAGAGAGTCGGATTTCGAGAACAAGATCACCTTGAGCGGGATCACGCCCCTCTCGGCATAGATAAAGAGGCTATCTTCATACCGGAGCCTCCACCGAGGCAGATCTCCAAGGCAGAAAGAATATTAGCTCTCATCATGGCTCCCACAGATACCCAGACCGCCCGAGCAAAGGGCCTCGTGGGAAAGCCGTTATTGTATGGCCGAGCCCATCTCCCAGGAGCGTCTACAGGTGGCTGACAGCTGAATGCAGGTACTTCACAAGCGTTTTCGTATCACTGGGTGTATTTCTTTTTGGCTACGACCAAGGCGTTATGTCTGGCATTATCACGTACGTCCATTCAGAATGTCCCAACCACAATTGCTGACTGGGATAAGTGGTCCCTTTTTTAGAGACGCATTCAATCAGCCTGGCCCAGCCGAGGTTGGCACTATGGTAGCTATTCTCGAGGTTGGTGCTCTTATATCATCTCTGTGCGTTGGACGCATTGGCGACATCGTTGGTCGTCGGAGGACAATTCTTTATGGGTCCATGATTTTCTTTGTCGGCGGAATGCTCCAAACCTTCGCAAATGGCATGCCCATGATGATGGTAGGGAGACTTATCGCAGGTTTCGGCGTTGGTGCACTCTCGACCATTGTACCTGTTTATCAATCCGAGATCAGTCCTCCACACAATAGAGGCAAGTTGGCCTGTATAGAGTTTACGGGTAATATTACGGGTTACGCGGCAAGTGTTTGGGTCGACTACTTCTGCAGCTTTATCCAGAGCGACCTCTCATGGAGGATACCTTTATTGATGCAATGCGTCATGGGTGCACTTCTCGGATTCGGTAGCCTGATCATCTGCGAATCCCCCAGGTACGTAAATCCGAACAAGAGGCATCATGGTTGACGCTCGCTAACGTCTCTCCTTGCAGATGGCTACTGGACAACGACCACGACGAGGAGGGGATCATTGTCATCGCCAATCTCTATGGCAAAGGCGACATTCATAACGCAAAGGCTCGACAAGAATATCGCGAAATCAAAATGAACGTTCTGTTGCAACGTCAAGAAGGAGAACGATCATACTCGGACATGTTTAAGCGCTACTATAAGCGTGTTTTTATTGCGATGTCGGCCCAGGCGTTTGCGCAATTGAACGGGATCAATGTCATCTCATACTACGCCCCCCTTGTCTTTGAGTCGGCAGGCTGGGTGGGACGAGATGCCATCCTCATGACTGGCATCAATGCGTTCACCTACCTAGGATCAACAATTCCACCGTGGTATCTGGTTGATAAATGGGGCCGACGGCCTATCCTCTTATCTGGAGCGGTGGCTATGATCATCTCGTTGTCGCTCATCTCCTACTTCATCTTCATCGACATACGGTGGACCCCAACACTGGTAGTGATATTTGTCATGATTTACAACGCAGCATTCGGAGCCAGTTGGGGCCCTATACCGTGGCTATATCCTCCTGAAATTCTGCCACTCAGCATCCGGGCAAAAGGCGCCAGCTTGAGTACGGCCAGCAACTGGGCATTCAACTTTTTGGTGGGCGAACTTACACCTATCCTGCAAAAATCAATCAAGTGGAGGTTATATCTCGTCCACGCCTTCTTCTGCGCACTCAGTTTCGTTCTCGGTGAGTCTGTCTGTCCTAGTAGGTATGTTGTAGTTACTAACCACGAACGCAGTCTATTTTGTGTACCCCGAAACAGCCAATGTTCGCCTTGAAGACATGAACGCATTGTTTGGGGATGCCACAACGGCCATGCCGACTCCCTCGACCCAAGCAGAACGCGGTTCTCTGATGGGCGTGGGATCCCCATCCTCTATCGACATCAGACACGGTGGTCCGCAACCAGGTGTCTTTTCCGCAGATGCTGCAATTCCTGGTCTTGACATAGACCCCCCCGATATCCAACTAGACGCAAACGGACGGCCACGAGGTCGAAGCCAGAGCAACCAAGAAGGGTTGGGCGGTTGGATTGGTCGTATGGTGTCCAGGACACGACAAGACAGCGGTGGCCGCGGACAATACGGGAAGATCGGCCAAGACGAGGACTGAAGTCACAATCTTTGGATTTCAAGTGTCATTATTTTCTCGACTTACACTTACTGGCTGTATAGATATAGAACTGCAACGCGCCACCGCTGTCGCGGATGAATGGAATGGGGTCGTACGCTACTGCATCTGGGGTGTTCAAAAGCCGTCTGCTTGGGTCTGGAACTCTGCACTGAAGGCTGGGAGAAATCATATCGAGCTGTTATGGACATGTACTGGTTATGTACTCGGTCCACTGGATCGCGCTGGAAATGAATGCTGCATTAATAATTTCCCGGCCACCGCATTGTACGGCGTTGCCATTATTATAAGCGGAAACTGTGAAGTCGGAATGAAAAGGATGACTAAGATGAGGTACATTACGCAGGACGAGACCCAAGTGGATGCAGGGAGAGGCTCCTAGTATCAAAGGAGAGGGTCATCAGGCTGCGTCAATAGGACCTGACAGGGTCGCGTGGGATGAGGCGAGAAAGGAGCATCCTAGCAAGTACGGTATGCCCCGATCTGCCCTGTGTGGCCGCTGGTGGCCGCTGTGGCGCACGCCCAGGTGAGCCTACGAGCCAAAACCAGAACCGGCAGGATCAACCAAGGCTTTGTTCTGGCTCCCCGACTTCGCCTCGCGCCGTCCATTGCCCATGATGCCTTACGGCCTTTTGGCGTCAATCATTCCCCCCATTGACCACCTCCATCAACTCGTGCCTCTGACCCAACTGCTACATGACTGCTTCTCAAGGAAATTGTCAACCACGAATACAGACAACCAAACTGTCGCAGCATTTGGCACTTCAAGAGATCACAGTCCTGCTGCTCCTTTGGCAGAGACATTCCAACACTCACTTACCGTGTTGTGCCCCTCTATCCTCACATTCCCGATTCAGTGACTATTCACTGGTTCGCATTCGCCCAACCTGCGCTTGCTAAATCGAACTCGCCAACTGCGACTATCGCTCAGACTTCTCATCCTACTTTTCTTCCCGCCTGCTCCCTCGTTCGAATACGTCCTGAACAGCCCTCCGTCGCAACAACTGTTGACCGCTTGACCGGCCGAAAACACCAACCGCGCAGATTAAATCCTCGCTGCCCTCATTCGCGTCCCTCCGCCAGATCGGTCAGCTCCCCTCCGATTTCCTTCTATGAAAGTTAAATCACCGCAAACAGGCGCCGTGCCCGCGATACAAACCAAGACACCTGGTCGCTACTCGACTTCGGATATGTGATGCTACAGTTTTATGAGCCGTCGATGTGTCCAGCTTTTCTTCGTCAGAGCTGGTCACCTTGACGAACTCATCACAAACTGTGATGGAAAGATAACCGTTGCTCCTTGCCTTTTGCGACAAAATGTCCCAAGGCACGACCAAGAGACCTCCGGAATCGACAGACTTGTTGCCTAGAGGCAAGCAGGTCCCTTCACATATCCTTGCTCAATTGGATGAGCGTTTCAAGTACCTCACCGACACCATTCTCCCTCCACATCCCTACCTACTTTCTGTTCCCTCCGACGTGCCCTATCGTCACAGCTCGCGCTTCGTCAATACGTGGTACGAGGGCACCCCGTTCGATCGTAAAGAAGAACAGCTCCAATATCTCAGCTTCCTTCCGCATTCGGGTGAACACGAGGCTTTGTTGAAAGTCGAGGGCGGGTGGGCAGACGACCACGGGAATCCCGTTGTTGAAGAAGAACTTTCTCCAAAGGCCTTGCCAGCGAGTGGTCGCCATACCCCAGCAGACACAGTCAATCGCAAGAAGATCAGCCTGAAGGACTATAAGACAAAGGCCAGAAGTCCACCTCAGAGTGCTATAGGGTCTCAAGACCCAAAGAAATCCGCGACTTCTGCCATCCCAGTCTTGGGTGTAGAAAAGGAAACGTACACTGCACAACCTTTGCCGGACAAGGAGCAAGAGAAACATTCGCGTAGCGAGGGGCGCAACGGAGTCAAAGATCATCAGCCGCAAGTTTCACAAATGGATGGCAATAATTCCCCCAAAGTACCTTCCAAGATGCAGAAGACAAACTCCCCGAATCCTGCCAAGCGAAGGAAGCTCTCTCCAGGTGCTGAGGACCCTAAAGTCGGCATAAAGACGTCGAAAATCGAATCACAGTCTTCCACCATGAAAATGCCGCGGTTGCTCTCTCCTACCCTACCTTCACCCGAGAAGGAGATCGGCCTACCACAACTTTTGTCGCCTGTCCTCCCTCCATCACTTACAAAGGCTTTGTCAACACCCCCGAACACCACGTCACTTGGAAGCCCTGTCAGTGGCGCGAGCAAGCGATCAGAACCCGTCCGCTTGATCCTCGCCGGCGCAGACCTCGACAACGAACCTCCAGGCGATCGAAGTGGACTGGCCCCAGCTGGGAGTAGGGTGCGCTCAGATAGCCAGCATTCGGCCCGGAGTAGCGCTCCGGGGACTCCTAATGCTGCCAAAGGGACACTTGGAGCGAAGATTCTGGCGAAGGGTGGCATTAGAGGTGGAACACCCCTGCACAATGGCGTTCGAGCCAGTCCTGGCCCTCGACAAAGGCATACAATCATTCTGAAGTACGGCAAAAAGAACAGGAAGAGGGTCGAAGCGCTTCTCAAATTCGCGTCACGGCCGAAGAAAGACCTTTGGAAGCAAGAAGCGCAAGGTTCTCACAACAGCTCTGACGTACCTGTAATGAAGGAGATATCGAAGCAGGTCACCCCAGAAACTCAACCTACTACTGAAACTAAGTCGAGAGCGCCGGTCATCGATGAAATCAAGATGGAAAAGAAGAGGAAGGCTGAAGACAGTAGTCCTGCACCATCTCTCAAGAAGGTCAAGGCCGTCGATAGGGAGACCCGGCCGGTCACACCAGTCCCCTCGGCTGGTAAGACATCGGCGTCATCTCAGTCGAAATCAACGTTTTCCACGCCGAAGAAGGATCTCAAACCTACTCTGATGAGACGTGTCGAGTCGTCGGAGGGGGTCGACGCCCCGACTCCTACCGGGGACAAAGTGAGGGTTTCGACACCGCAAGCCATGCCCAAGCCATCTCCACAGCCACCAACGGGCTCTGCATCTTCTCGAGGGGAGGAGCGGCAACAGTGGACCAGCATCAACTACAAGTTCTTTGCATTGGGCCGTACTCTCAAGCATGAAGGATCGGCTCTACTACCACCTCCCGATAATGATGCGAAGGCCTCTCAGTCTGCGAAAGCGGTACTGACACTGATCGAAGCGCTATTGTGCTTCATGATCAACATATCCGCGCTGTCCCATGCCCGTCCAAGTGTCGACCCGGGCTGGAGGTCAATCATTTTGTACCACATCTTCGTGTTCCGTGCATCGAGGAAGTTTCCACACCTTCACGGTCTGGTCGTGCAACTTGGGGCAGTATGTCGGCAACTTGTACATAAATATGACATGGACAGACTGGCGCGGGATCCTCTACCTGACGACTACTGCAATTCTGCTCCCACGCCTGGTAGTGATGGTAACACCAAGACGAATGAAGACGGGGAAAAATACAAGAAACGATACGTTGAGTTCAGGGATGAGTTGATCCAGAACGCCCGTGAACTGCAGACGGCATGGCTGGATGGATCCCGACAACTCTCGCTCGACCTGCTGAAACGCGAGTATCCCATTACTTGGTCGAAGCGGGCCAAGGACCCGAGTGCGAGACTGCAAGAGAAATTGACGCCATCGAAGATTCCTGAAGACTTCTACCTGCCAATGGATGCAAACACTACCGCTTTTGAGGCAGCCAGATTCGGCGTGTCTTTTCTCCAGGAATGGGCGGAGAAAGAAAAGGTTGATTGGAAGACAAGGATCGATCTATGATAATGGCTATGCATCTAATGTCACAGCCGATAAGACGTTACGACCGGATATGATTTCAGCTATTCTTGGCTGGAGGGGTTGAATATACAATGGGATAGCTGGCGGTCAGCATGTGTTGCTGTTTTGACATTTTTAGAAGATACCACATGAGCGATGAAAAGAGCCGATTTGAACTTGCCTGAGATGCATATTGCGTATACATTAGGGGTGCTATGTTGTGCCTGCGTAAGACTTGGTAGAAGAGAAGTCCCTATCTATCTGCTTTCTTGTGAGCAGTGTACAATAAGAGGTATACATGTACAAGTTAGGCGAGGTATTTTGTATAGTATCTTGTATGACGTCGAGTCTACAGCCTTGTGCGGAAACATTCCACCCGAGTTCTCGCTCTTGGGCCGTGTCTCGGTGGTCCATTCTGTCTGCGCCCGTTTCAACGTTGGCAGAATTCAGCGGCTCTTCGCACCCTCAACCATTCCACACCCTCCCCCGCCCCCGGTCGAAGCCAATGAGTCACTGTCAATAATGGCCACCTTACTTCGGAGCGAGACGGAGAAGCATGGACTCATTCGATGACGACCCGACCAGCTTCGAAGGCGTTTTGCCTGTGATTCCACCCGACTCCCCTCCGGTGTACAAAGACACAAAAAGCAATGCCGCAACTGGTGCCTCCGCCGCCGGGGTTCGAGCCTTCACGGCGCAGGCAGTGGCATTCTATTTCCGTGCCCCGGTGAAAGCTTTCTTTCGGACAAGAGTGGATTATCTCGCGTACGCCAAAAGCATCAACCCAGATATACAGAATGGTCGTTGGTCATGGCGGTCCACCACACCGGGTCTGCTGGCGACGGCGATCAAACACTATGGTTGGCGCTTTGTGCCTGAGCAATTGGCCCTGCCCTTGTTCGCGAATGTAGCTGTTGGGGCAGCACTGTATACGAGTTACCTGCAGATTTTGGGCCTGTTGCACGAGCCCTCGGCACATGCCAGGAAAACGGTATATCCACCTCCGTCGCCGCAGAGTACTTTTCTTGCAGGATTTGCAGCGGGCACCATCCAAAGCGTGCTGGCAGCTCCCTTGGATGCCCTTCAAGTGCGATTCGAACGGCGCGGGCCAAGATACGAGGATAAGACCATGTGGGAATATGGGAAAGGGAAATTAAGAGAGATCGGAGCCAGAGGAATATTTGCGGGTTTTGGGCTGA